ATATATAGTGATAAATATTTTGAGACTAATATCTGCTAATGGAATTTCTACTTCGATAATCAAGTGTGTCAACGATTCGATCATTACTTTCAAATCGGCCGCTGATATATTTGTACCATAATTCCCTTCGTTTGGCGATTCGAATCCAGAAGTATGTCGTCTGTGTCATAAACGCTTCTTGCCATCGCTATTCCATCGGCATAAAATTAACGATAATTAATAAGATTCCCTTCCTTTCCCCAGGCATCACGTTCACACAGTTGGAAAATTTGTTTTTTTGTTAAAAAATATGTCGGTTAAAATTTTTGTGTTAAATATTTAACACATTCATGTGTTAATTAAACATAGTACTGTTGTGTTAATCGAACTCAAATGTTAAATTATTAAAACAACTGAAGAAAAATGTAAAAATAATACAGTGTGCACATATTTTTAGTTTTATACAATAGATATGTTCCGTATTATTAATGACAGGATATATCTGTCCAAATTTACAGAAAAAAATGTTAATTTTATTTTACAATGGGAGTGAGAGTCACTACAGACAGTCAATAATTTTTCTTCCAAGTTAATTTTATCATTAAAAATGTGTTGATTTTACACAAAATTTCTTTCAAATTACTATAAAGTTTACATTCATTTTGCGTTGAAATATTAATATAGAATTAATGTCACCATTTAATATTCCATATTATTATGTTAAATTAACACAAAAATTTGCGTAGACCGTTTAGGACATGCGATATATGTTAAATTTAAGCCAAATTTTCCAACTGTGCACCGTAATTATCGTGCGTCACGTACAGTATTTTGACTCCGCGCATGGATTTAGCGATCGGTATGTTAATGACGTACGTCAATGGTCCAGCCTCGAATCCTTTTCTTCGAATATCGGTTTGCTTATACGGGCTCTATACGTACTCTTGCGCGCGCACTATGCGTATATGTATGAAAAATCGAAGTTGCTCGTAAAATTAAAGCCGCGGAGGAGATCGCGAATAAATCAAGCAGATTTACGGAGAGAAGTCAGGCCTGTATTACTTTTTCCCAGAAAATCACGTGGCCCCGCGTCCTCCGGCTACCGCCCAATCCCTACCGGCTATTATTTAGAATGATCGATGCCATCGTAATGGATGATATAAGCAATGCTTCCTCGAACGCTGATAGAAAAAAACGCGCCTCGACGATAAACGTCCTCTCGCGAAAATTAACCGCTTATACTTTGTACAGTGTCTTGTACGTCGTAGCGTCTATCTTTGCGTAAAATAATCACGCTTTTGTGTAAGCAACCGCGAAAGAAATTGATAGAGAAAGCTGAATATTTTTGATACTTTTTAATGTGACGCGTAAATCGTATTTTTTTCTTTTATATATATTATCGCTTACAAGAAAAGCAAAGATGCGACGATAAGAAACGGTAAAATTTCTTATCGATATTATTTCTTGTAAAATAAACCTAATAATTTATGTATTTTTGATAACAAATTGTCATAATATTTACATACATAATTAGATATATCTTGGTAATTAGGCCTCAGGTGAAAATTCTAAAATTCTTATAAAGATTCATATAGTCATTATATTTATCAGTTTTATTATACATTGTAACAAGAGCGATGAATATTATCATTATTAGTAAAGACTGCTTCTACCGTTATTAAAGAGAGATACGTACTACTTTTCCAGATAAATCCCAAACCCGAGCCAAGAGGCGATACTCGCGGGAAAAGTCTGTCCCAGTTACATTTAAACAAAAGTGGTACGTGTAACCGAGAAGAAAAAGAAGGAGCAGGAGAGGAACCGAGGATATTCCCAGGGTTAATAAATGGATCTAAGCAACGTGCTTCCTCGGCTCTCGCGACGGCCATGACAAATGGCGATTATAGTCCATCTGCCACCGCGGTCAAGTTTGTTTCACGTATGTTGACCCCGGTTGACCCCTCGAGTATATCGCGCGTTCCACGAGAACATTCCCTCAACGCCGGCAACGAGCCATTTCGCGCGCGCGTACATAAAGGTTGTACAGTGTGTCCGTAAGAACGTAGGCACACATGCCTTGCCGGCCTGGCAGCCCCAGGTCGGCAAGTATGCGACATTGAGCCAAGGCCACCGTAGACTGCACCGACACAAACGCACGTTTATAAGCGCGGTACGCATCGAGCCACGCATCTTCCTTGGAGGAGAGGAGGGGAGAGGAGCACGCAACATTATCTCGCGTGCGTACGTGTAGGTTCGCATATGTGATTTTGCGGCCGCAAGATATATATGTATATATATATACATATACGTGTCTGCGAGTGAGTCTCCTATGTTTGTCCCGCAGGTGAATTCGCACCTAAGTAGGCGAGGGAGCCGTTCCAAGTGATTGCGTGTACGAATAAAAGTGCACGATGCCTTTTTAACGCCGTTTATTTATGCCCGATGAAGAGCGGGTCTGATTTTCAATGAAGTTACGAGATCTGGAATTGCATCCTAATATTCTAAGAAATATATATTGACAAATAGAGCGAGTGAGAATGTGTCGCGTAAATATACATTGACGTGCGCTATGCAAAATTTTTTCAATAATATAGTAATAATATAATAATATTATATGTATGTTAGATAAAAATTTGATTAACATCGATGTAGCGTTTAGTTTAGTTCTAGAGAGAGCCCATCATCGCGCTATGATGCAAATAATAATTTAAATGTTGATTGAGATTGACGCTCTAAACACAACAATGATAGTTTTATAATATAATCCTTATAATAAAATTAATAAATAGAATACTTATTGTTAGATGTAAAATTGTGCTGAATAACTTGCATGATTAGAACAAACGATCGTAAATCACATAGCAAAAATATTTAAATGTAAGTGTAAATTTTATATTAATTTTTAATTTAATTTAAAAAATGTAATAGTAACAGGATTAAATATTTATATACCAATATAGATAATTCACGTTTATCTTTAACATCTTCTAATAAAAAAAATTATTTATTTATCGATTCCTAATCTATTACGGATGTTATTTTGGATAAAGTTTAAATTAGAAAATACTCTCTCAATTGACGAATATTGATAACAAGGTTTTTTATTTATTTTAACATTTTTAACAGAAAAGATAGTTTTTGCCGACTTTTTCCGGAAAATACTAATTTTTACCGCTGGCGTGAATTTTATCCAAAAATTGTGTAATTTTGCCAATCCTATTTTATATAGTTTACACAAACAAAAAATTTGTAAATCATACACTCTTACACGCCACTTTGCATGTTACGTGCTCATCAAGTTCGAAAGATTCGATGAATCGCTCTCTCCCCGCGATCCGTGCATATTTGACTTTCCCT